TTCTCTAGCTGAGCAGCTGATAGCTCTGTATCATCAGGCCATTCTTTGAATTCGACTTCATTTCCCAGGATTAGTACTTCTCCTTTAACCAAATCCTTGAAGAAAACGCTTTTTACTGTGGATTTCAAAAACTTAGAGAGGAGCAGGACCAGGATAGCTGAGACAACACTGAGACTGGTTCTGTCTTTCACGGAATCTGTGATTCGATCAGGGATGTCTGTGAACCCGTTTCGGTAATCTGCTCATGTAGGTTCACCAGGCCACTAGGTTCTGTGACTAGGACACTGCTGCTGTCCTGGGACACACTGTTATACAGATAACAGACACATTTTACAAAGTGTCTTGTAGCCCAGATAAAATAAAACTGTTGTTTTTTTTTTAAAGATGAATTTCAGAAAGGGGTCAACCCGTTCTGACAAATAGCGAAGATTCCCATTTGCACCATGAGCGCAGACGCCCAGACGCGGTACCTGGATTTCTGGCTCGGCACCTGGGTCTCCAACGGTGGCCCCTCAGTGTCAGGAGCAGCGGAGGCTGCCGGCGCAGGCCTGTGATTTGGCCCTAAGGGCACTGGGCGTTTTCTGAGCTTCACCAGGCCTGGGACAACGGCGGGCAGCGCCCTGACGAAGGGTGTCTCCTCTCCAGGGAAACTCAGCTCCAGGAAGCCCTGAGCCCAGGCCAAAAATGTTGGCTAAAATCAGATCATCCCGAAAGAAAAACTGCCCCCGCCAATCTGCCACCCCCGTGCTGTCTAGTGTCCTCGCCTTGACCACAGACCACGCTGTGTGCTGTTAATTTTGTACCAGAGATCTCCTATTTCTTCTGTTCCGTCTTGGATGGACAGAATTCTAGAGCCTTGCAGAGGTTGGTGGCTAAGGAGACGGGTGTCCTTAGGAGGCGGGCGATTTGCTTAAAGCCACACAGCCACTTAGGACAGACGCTGGGCCTCCTGACCCCGAGGCCGGGCCTGTCCCCTGCTCTTCTCATCCTGTTTTTTCCGCTGGACCGACTCCATTGAGCAGTACTCTCCACACCCCGCAGCCAACTGCCTTTTGTTGTTCTCTGGTTGGCACTATCTCCTGCCACCTCTGGACCTGTTTGGTCTCTGTGTGCATGCCCACATTGTCAGGGAGCGCCGTGTAAAACTGGGGGCCCTTGGTGCTGGGCGGAGGGCACGAGCCTCGACGGCTTGTCCGCGGGCTCACTGCTCTGTGCTCAGGCCAGGCGGGGCGCACCGTACGGTGGCCCGTGCTCGGGCTGACGTGAGTGGTAGGAGCGTGGTAAGGCGTGAGCCTGAGACAGGAGCGAAACAGCTCTGGTAACCAAGACGACCCCTGGAGCTGCAGAGCACAAGGGGTGGCCAGGTCCCAGCTGGGCAGACGGAGGCCACCGCGAGTGAACAGAGTGGACACGGAGGAAGCGTGACTAGCGCTGTGGAAACGGATTATGCCACTAGGTTTCCGTTTGGGAAGCCTACCACGTGGCTTTTCAAGTGGAATGGATTTGCTGTAACATGAAAAAACAAACTGTTTAAGAAAATTACACAGTTTTCAAAAACATCTCTATAGAGAGACATTTTGGATGTTTAATGAGGTACACAGTCCGCTCTCACAGAAGACACCACGGTCATAGGGTGACACCCACTGCCATCTCCTAAGAGCCCTTGGGAGCTTAAATGCCTTTTCTTAGTGGTGTCACCACGTCCCCTCGTCTCACTCAGAGTGCCACAGGACTCAGGTTATATCAAAAACAAAATTTTTTAAAGGAAACATGACTTACTTCTCGGCTCCACAGGAGGAAAACATACAGCGACGGGCAGTGACTCACTCATTAAAAATTAAGTAAATCCACCCACAACGGGAAACAGCATAACAGCATGGCAGCGCAGGCTTCACACTGGAAAGCAGCCCCAAGCGGGCCTTGGAAAGAGTGATGCCTCTGAGTTGGATTGGGCTCTAGTTGTGCGCCTCCAGGATCTACCTGCATCTCAGCCACAGCCACTTTCCAGCCTGTCTTGTGTTGGGAACTCCCAGAAGAAGGCAGGGTGGCCCTGGGCGTTTCCATGGTTTCGGACAAGACGAAGCGATCTGCCTCCCCACGGAATCACTTCCTCAGGTGAAATACGCCTTCACACCCCCCAGAACCATCTGCCAGATGGATCTCCAAACACGGGCAAAGTACCTTCGTGTTATTACGTTTCTGCTTACGTTTTAAAAATCAAAGCCTGCGGATCCCCAGCTTTCACCTCCTGCACATAAGCAACATCATGGAAAGAGAAAGTCTTCTTTCCAAAATCCTTTTCCATCAATAAAACCCTCCTTTATATGTTCCTGCTTCTTCTGGAAGGCAGTGACAGAGCAAACACAAACAAGAGAGGGGAAGTGAAAGCGCCAAAGATGGCTGGCTTTTTTTCCAAAGTGAGATCACAAAACATTTATATCACGACGGACAAACTTCATCCCAGAAGGGAAGTGAAGGCAAGTGTCCCCAGACACGCCTGACCACACGGCCGTGGCTGCTTCAGGGCGGCTTCTGCTGTCATCTCAAAACTCAGAGGAGCTGCGCCCTACATCACAGAACTTGATGTCTTGAGGAGGCCTTTAAAAAATTCTCACCCGCTTTTTACTTTTCAAACAAAGAAGGTGTGACTCAGGACACGTCCCAGTCATTCAGCTTTCTAGAACTAAACTCTATTTCTGTCCATTCCTTTCGTAGGCTCCTGCGCAAAGCACACAATCAGATAAATAGGATCTATGATTTCATTTTTCAAGAAATTGCGCAGCCCTGAGCCTGCAGGAGACACCTGATAAACGCTGGGTGAGCGAACAGACAAACGACCCAGCCGTGTCGAAAGGAAACCTGGCAAGTGTGCGAGAAGAGATTAGAAACTGGATTTGGTCAGCAGATAACATGCGGAAACAGTGTGGAACCCTGGCCAAGATCAACTCCAGTGACCAGAAAATTGTTCCAAAATATAATTATCCACGCGCAAACTGCCTGCACAATCCATGGGATCTGTCCTCATTTATTAAAGTGCTCGATTCCTTGAGTACCTGGAAAATTATGTTTTCCATAATGGAAAAGTTGGTTTGCTTTTGGCAGGTCCGTGCCTCCCCATTGGTGGTGATGAGCTGACTGGCTTTGGGGTCTGAGAGGAACCCTGGCACAGCTCAGGGAAGGCCAGAGCCTGGAGAGCCCCTTCCCACAGCCCTGGCAGCTCACTTCTCCCAGCCTGCTGGGCTGTTTCCTCGCCGTTAAGGTGGAAGTGAGAATGCACACCTAGACGGCCTCCAGCGCCTCTGAGGCCCAGACGAGATAACGAACTTGAGGGTGCTTTGTGAGCTGTGAAGGGCGTGGCCAGGCATGTTCGTTATCATAAATGCATAAATTTGTTTTCAGCATAAAGCATTTAAGTTATCTGGCAAAACAGGAAATAGATCAGGTCCTGTTTCTGTGACTAATAATTTCCACCAACATGACGTTCATAAAAAATTAATTTCTCTACAACACATGGTAACACACACACACACACACACACACACATATAGTGCCAAAAAATGTACACACATTTTAAGGAAGGAAAAAACTGCATTGAAATTGTAGTACAATGGATGATGCCACTATTCATTTGATTAACGCCATCTTTTGAGCGAACGTCATACTACATACACATTGCTACGTAATTCAACTTCAAAAAGCAATACATAGATAACATCTCTTAAAATGTATCCTTTTTTTTTTTTGGCACCCCAGGTATACATAGAGTGTGCCTGAACACAAAACTGCACCATTTCTGATAACAGATCAATTTTGGTGCAGTTGTTTGAAATCAGTTAAACACTGCCAACATCTTTTAAAAAAAAAATGTTAGATTTCAATCGGCCCCCATCATAAAATAACACAAATGCAAGTTTTGTGTTTTTGCTCATGCTCATTTCTATTCAACACAGGAGGAAAGCTACTCAGAGAATCCATGATATGACACATTTTGTGTTCAGCAGTTCCACTGGGATCTTTCCCTTTTCCCACATTTTAAACCCTTCCCACTAAACTCTGCATCGTCATAAGCAGTTTTGAAAAGTCACTTCAGATCAGCCATTCTTGAATGGAATGCATCTAATCTGTGGCTCAGTGTCCCCATCCCCTAGGGGTTGGGGCTGAAGTTGGGGTGCGTTCCCACTGCACTGGGGACTGGCCTGCATGCCTTCCACTCAGCCCCAGAACTCACTCCTGATCTGTGGCTCAGTGGGTCTGAGGGATCTCTCTGTAACCCACATACCCAAAAGGTTCTGCTCATTTCCTGTCTTCTTCACCCAGTGTGAACGGTGCCACAGGCAGCTGGCCTGGGCCTGCAGCTGCCACCGCTGCCATCAGTTTCTACAAAGTGCAGGACAAGGGCCTGAAAGCCCTGCACACAGACTCTCGGCCACGCCTCCTCGCAGAGGTGACGGCAACCTCCTTGAAGACCAGCCCATCCACCGAAAGGCTGCCCAGGTAACTTCCACTTCATCACCGGGTTGTTCGTAACTAAAATGCCACTTCACAAATCTTTTGCTAAGGACAATTACGGGGAGGGTTTTGATTATAAAGATAGGAAATGTCCAACTTAAAATAGGTGGGGCTCTGATGTGTCATCCAGTCACACCCCTGAGGGCCCAACCAGGATTCTGTTTGTTTTCCTGGAAGGTGGGCCTCACCTTGGATCCTGGCGGTCTGCCAGCCAGCCCACCAGCCGCGCGATACAGACAGTTCCTCTCTACCATCCCCGGCAGGCACTTGGCAGAGCTGGGGTGAACGACAACGGTTTCCTGAAGCACCCACCCCAGATTTCCTGCACAGGGCTGGACAAAGTTAACGGAGCTGCTTGCCAATTCATTTAATGAGAGCTTCCTGGCAATATTCTTTAACCTAATTTTTAAATACCTCAGGAATTTTATTACAATCAACCACGACAGAAATCCCACGCAACAAGAAAGGGCCTCCTTTCAGCTTCCCGTTACCTCTTGTCCTCCTGGAGTGACGCCGGGGAGCCATCCTGGCCTGCTGCGATCCATGTTTTCCTGTCAGCTGCAAAAGGATTCCTAAAGGGAGAATTCCAGCTCTGAACTGGGTCTGCTGGGAGCTCAGTGATGGGACGTGAGCTTATATAGAAAGCTGTGTTCCCATTTCCTCCAAGTGGAAACTGTGACTGCTTAATGTCCATGCCTCTGCTACATGACGAACGATTACCTAGTACACTCTTTCGGGGGGTACTTACTTCTTGGAAGAATGTTCAAACTTTCCGGGGGCGGGAAATGGAAATGGAAATAAATGAGGGATGAATCTGTCGGTCACCATCAGATCCAGCTGTCAGTGTCTCATTCAGTTTCTGGGAGAAGAACTTCTTCATTGTTGGGAAAAACACATTTTGCTCAGAAAGGAAACCTGTGAATCCATGGATGCTAATGAACACCCAGGAGCAGGGCCAAGGAAGGAAACAGGAATGGAATCTCGTAGAAAGTTCTCGAATCTTCTGTGCTGTGCACATCATGCATCCTGCAGATCTAGAAACCAGAACAGGACAGAGGGCCTGGCCCACTAGCAGAAATGTGACCCCAGCTGAGGAGGGAAGAAAGCGTGTCCGGAGGGGCTCGCCCAGCCCTGGCACAGCGTAGACGAGACCCTTGCGTTTGAAAACCTTCAGATGATGATGATGATGATGATGATGGTGGTGGTGATGATGTTTCTGCCATGGTGACCATTCAGGCCAACACCGAGGAAGGAAAATGACTTGGCAGGCAAAGATCACAGGTGTTGAAACCGACAGAGGAGGAAGCCCAGACCGTTGCGGAAGACAGGCTGGTAAATGGATATCCTAAGTTAATCTTAAAATTAAACTGACTGTGACTTGATCTTAGCACTTAGCTTAGTGTTCCTTTATTCCTTTGGCATTTCCGTGAACCAAGGTGAAATAGTCAAGTTACAGCATCATTTAATTTTACTTCCTGGTGGATACCCTTTGGTATCACAATGTAAGACCTCAAAGAGCCTGGAGAAGATATGGAAACCTTAATTTTGTGCCTTCCATACACTCTTAATTCTGAAATTCCATTGCACTCTTTACATACTATGCAACTGCGACCCACGGAGTTACAAGCGTTGCCCACTGGGATGGGGAGGGAACTTTGGTCATATTGGATGAGCAATGTGAACTGCAGTATTCCTTTCCAAGTTTATTTTTAAATACTAAAAATAGGAAAAGAAAAACAAGAGAATGGGTCGCTCTGCTAAAAAGACTCCTCTCATTCCAGTTTAGCTGGGAGAAAATTTGACTCTTTGTTTTTGAAGTCAAATGTTAGCATTTTAAAAAATGTTAAATAGGGGGTTATTGCTGGAAGGGAGAACTTTTGATATCCACCATAGCACCGGCATATACATCACTACCCAGTTAAATGCCATCTTTAGAAGCTGGAAACATTTGCCATCATTTTGTGATGGTGTCCACAACAACAATTTTATTAAGGGCTCACTCTGGGTCACCTCACTTAGACGTCACAATAATCCTAGGACGTGACTGACAGCTGAGAGCGAGGGAGTCCTCTGCAGTTCGTGAGTTCACTCAGCAGGCATCTACTCCACAGAGGATGGTGCCTGGGGACAGCCTCCAGCCCCAGGAAGTCCAGTCTCTCCCGTCCTGCCCAGGGTGAGCTCTTTATTTAGTTCTAACTGACTCCAAAGCAAGTTTCTAATTCCACAAACTAGAAATAGATTCCTTTCTGTTAGCTGCAGCCCTGAAGCTCTAGAACAAGTCTCAAGTGTTCAGAGATGACAATGTCACTGGCTACAAGGCCAATCTGACACCCAGCAGGCAGGTTCCAAAGCCAGCAGATCAGGCAGCCAGGAAGGGGGTTCCTGCTTCCAAGACGCTTTCCTCGTTGCCAGGAGAAAGATGCCTCAAACCAGAAGCGCTTCTGCTCTCAGAACTCATAGCTTCCTAAAGCAGAACTTCACTTTCCTCTTGACATGGAGACAAAGGAGAAGGACCTGCTGCCCAACGCTGCTCTGGCTCCCAAGTGCCTACAGTGGATGCGGAGGTAAGACATCGACTGCTGCACACTGTTTGTTCCCTTCGGACGGCAGATGAACTTCTGAATCTGTCTCTGGTTTTAAGACAATGAGGGGCGGGGGGGGGTGGGGATGCACAGGTCGCAGGATCACAGCTAAGAGAACTGCTGGCCACTCAGGGGACCAAGTCCACTTGCCAAGAGGCCAGGAAATCCTCGAGTGGGTGGGCAGCAAGACTGGATGTGGAGGGGCCGGTGCTGAGCCGAGCGCCTAGGAAGGCAAGGTCAGACCTTTGGAACAAATCGCCATCTGTGCCTTGTATTTCAGGAGACGAGTCTGTGGGCCTGACCCTCAGACATTCCATGCCAACACGGTGAGGGTCCACTGCTTTTGATGAGCATGTGATCTGTGCATGCAAACCGATATGAACGAGCCAGGACCTCTCCGCGAGGGTGCTGAGGCTAAGAGGGACTGCAGACCTCTTGTAATTAATGTCCGTCCAGTATTGAGCCTTCTCTTCGATGCCACCGTTGACACGTGCCCAAGGAGGTGGTACCGTTCAGAATGGCCAACATCCAGGGATAGTGCGATAGAGAGAACGTGGGCAACATAACTGGCTGAGGGCGCAGCAAATGGAGGCTGTCCTGTTCTCCATCCCGATAAATCGTTGATGACATGTGACAGTCCTTCGAGACAGGGAGCGACAGTCCAAGCAATGAAAATGCATTTGATCGCTCCAGGAATAACCATTGCATTTATGCCCAGATGAAACAGTGCCGTGTGGGGCACCCTCCCCGCCCCTCCAAAGAGGGGGCCGGCCAAGGGAAAATCATGGCTGCACTGACCTTAGAATAGTTCAGAGTAGAGTCCGCATGTTTAAAAAAATGTGACGCATTTAAGAAACAAAACTTGCTAGCTGCCCACGTGTGGGTTCACTCACTAAAGGTGAGCACACAGGCAAGCCAGGTGCTACCTGCCCACACGCTGTAGCCACTTCAAAAGCACCTAGGTTTTCTCCCTTTGATATCTTTAGGGAACTTACCACCATCAAGTTGACTAAGTAGAAAAGGAAAAGGCGACTGTTTCTTTTTCTAAACACGAGGACATCAAGACCAGGGGATGCAGCCCGGACCTCAAAAGGCATAAAATTATGTGATGACGACACTTTTTTTTTTTCTTTTTAACCACAAGTGCAAACCAGAAAAGCCCTTCTCAGCAGCTTTCCCCACGGCAGGTCACTTAAGAAGCAATTACCACGACTGCAATTACGTGCCACCGTGCTCCCTAATGGTCCTGCACTGTGTGCCGTGGAGATAAGATAAGATCCGTGTAAAAGGACAACTCAGTGAGAGGAAAGCACGCGGAGACTGTGTTCTCAACAACACATTTCAGGATAATGAACAGTTGAGCCAGATTTTAAACGCAAAAACAAACAAAAAAAAGTGATGTAACAAGAAGTGTGATATGAGCCTGTTCAAGCAAGTTAAGGCATACAATTCAAGTAGAACACGCTAACCATATGGCCTTCTTTCTCTAGAAGATAATGTTTCTCTAACAATTAAACACCACACATTTTTTAAACTAGTTGACTACATATCAGAAATCATTTTTTTAAAATTTCATACTCACCAAGGGAAAACGCAGGCTATAGTCTGAAAAAGAAAGAGAAAAAGAGAGAGTTAGTTTCCTGGTTAACGGGCGAGTTGCTAATGTGAGCCACTTCTTTCTCTACTGCACTGGTTGAGTACGTCCATTTTTGCTTCATTGTGTGGGTCTCCTTGAGGCCTTTATATCTATATGATGATAAATTCTTTTTTGCTGCAATCATCAGCTTTGAAAAGTGCCCTGCCCCAAACTCTCCTATAATCTCTGGGGCTCAGTTGATGGTGGAGCCTGGTGGCTGACCTAGATCCAAATGCTTGGCATCTAGCCTGCAGGGCACCTTGTTCATCAGCAGATCCTTCTGGAACCTACAACGCCCCGTCCCCTTAGACAGTTCCCTCAGCTCATCTTCCCTAGAGACGGCCTCTTAACACCTGCTTGGGGTGGCCCTCCGACTCCCTTCTCCAGCTTAATCATTATTCAGCTTGCTCATTCTCCATTAGTTTAACTCTCCTGTTCATTTTAAAAACGGTTTTATTGAGATAGAACTTAATAGGAAGTCCACAGGTTTAAAGTGTACAATTCAATGGTTTTTAGCATAGTCAAAGAGTTTTGCAACCATCAACATAACGTAATTTTAGAACATTTTCATCATCCCCAAAGAAGCCCAATGCCCATTAGCTCATCAGCCCCCCATCTGTGCGCCCCACCTCGGCCCCTCCTCTCCCCACCCCGACCCCTGACAACCACTGATCTACTTTCTGTCTGTGGATTTGCCTATTCTGCACATTTCATAGAAACGGAGTCCTGCAACATGTGACCTTTGTGACTTCGTACAGTGCTCTATCCATGTCATAGTATGTGGCGGCACTCCATTCTGTGTTATGGAGAGTGCATTCCCCTGGATGGATGGGCCACATTCTGTTTAGCCATTCCTCAGCTGACAGACATGGCTCCCTTGTTCTTATATGAGTGACCAGCGAGGCAGCCTCCTAGTCGGGCAATTCGCCTGCACAGACCTGTGGCTGGGGACCGTGTTCAGCTGTCATCTCACATCTGTACTGTGAGAGGGTGGACTCGTGTTTCCATCAAATAGCTAATACAGTCCATGGCGTTTTCCACCAAAACAGGCTAGTTTTCATCTTAGTCATGGCCAGGCTAGTTATTTTAAACAAAATACAATAAAGGCTCTACAGTACACAATTCTAACAGGTTGTTGTACTAATTAAAACGCTGACTTGTGAAGTAGGTTCAAAGCCAAAGAAGCAAAAGTAACAGTTCTGGTTACTAAGGAGTTTTAAATCTACTTAATGGGCAAATCCACAGCTAATGTTATGCTTAATGGTGGAAGATTGAATGGTCCCCCCACCTCCAATACTGGGAACAAGGCGAAGATTCCACTCTCACCACTCATATCTCACACTGTACTGGAAGGCCTAGGCAACGCAATAAGGCAAGAAAAAGAAATAAAAGGCACAGGAATTGGAAAGAAAAAAATAATACTTTCTTAATACTCAAATGACTGAGTGTCCACGTAGGAAAGGGCAAAAAGTCTACCAAAAAGCAACTGGGGATCAATCTGTGAGCAACATACAAAGCCATGGGCTTGCCCAGAGGACAGTGGAGCTCACATAACACAAAGCAAATAGCAGAAGGTGAGGCGGGCACTGAGGGTTGGGCAAGAGGTGGTTGCTGGGGTACGGGGAACTGCTGCTTTGTAGGAATAACTTACTACAAGAGCCTACCCCTTCCAATCTCCAGAAAGAACCTGGGAAGCTGGCGGGAAGAGTGACTCGTGGTGTTTGCGTGGCGCCCAGCATGAGGACAAGGCAGGAGTGGAAGGGACCCTTAACATTTCGGCAGGATTGCTAGGAAGCTCAAAACTACCTCCCAATGCAATGCGGAGTCATGTCGACACAAATAAAACCCAGTGAGAAACACAAGCATATGAGGAAAACATCAGCTGGGGTAGAACCAGGTGGGCACTCCACGAACGGCTGGTTAAGTAATGAATAAGCATGACTGACAAAATCCCAATCTGGCACACATAATCATGTTTCCAATACCAGCAAGGGGGCCCAGCCAACCCACTTAAAGCAAAACAAAAAACTAAAACCAAGACACAACAATAATTTGTGTGTGTGTGTGTGGGCACCACATCATTTTATGTCTTTGGAAATAATAATGTTGAATTAAACTTTGAACTAATGTTTTAGTTTTTAAATAAAGCAAGAATACATGGAACAGCAGGCTTTGCAAACAGATCGCATACTGTATTGGTTTGGGGCTCGCACACGTTAGCATGAAACCACAAGGAGCCATTTCTCCAAGTAGAAGTACAGCGAAAACCAAGCAACCAGAATAAACCTCTCAAGTCAGCCTTTATC